CAACCGACGTAATCTAACAATCGAACAAGATCGCGAGCAGCGACTGCTCCATCTCTCTCGAGAATTAGAAGTTAAAAAGAAGGTAGTTCAAGACTTGTTGAATCAACTAACAATCGAAAAAACGAACTACAAACATATTAACGCCAAACATTCGGTAGAATTTATAGAATATTGTAAAAATTATGGTCTATTACCAACATATATATATATATATATATATATATACACACACACATATATATATATATACATATATACACATATATATAAATATATATATATATATATATATATATATAACAAAAATGTTTCCGCAGTTTGTTAAGTGAACAACGAATGGTCTATGATAAATTGCGCATCGAACGGTAGTGGTAAAAAAATGGTGATAATAATAATAAAATTGTTACGTAGTTTGTGGTGTTTTTTTTTTGTTAGTTATCGCTAGGTGGCAAAAATCAACATTTTAAAGTGTCAATTATATTTATTATACAGGGTCGTAGACGAAAAATGAAATTGTCAGTAAGATCAATCAAATAATGAAACAATTAACAAATTAAGTATCCAATCGATGAAAAATTTAATCAAACAACCTGACGCGTCTAGACAATAATTTAAAAATTACAAAAAAATGCAATCGCTAGATGCCGCGTTGATGACATAAATAAAGTTTATTTTGTACAATGCGGTGATGCAATTTAATGCTATTTAGCGAATAATTCCCATCCTTTTATATCAGAAAATGCATATTTATAAAACTTTAATACACGTGCAATTCTATAATATAAATGTTTAAACATTGTTTAAAATACATACAATCCAAAAAAACAGGCATACAAATACACATACATACATCCACAAACATACACAAACTAATCGTATTTTTAGATATTTTTATATATGTGCTGTGCATTTACATTAACCGTATGAATGTGTAAGTTGATATATTAATGAGAAATGCTAAAAATCAGTTGTGCCTAATGTTTACCATGAAGTGGGAATTTTGAGAAGTTTTGAGGGAATGATTGGAAGAGGTAAGGTCATAAATTAAGGATTTGTTTACGCCATGTGCTAAGTTGTCTAGTTTACTCCATGAATTTGTATTTTAACTGTGATAGATAAAAAGTGATTATATATTCGTTGCATCTTAGTTCGCCTATTGTCATTCCATAACTAGAGGTTTTTATGTTTATTTGTTGGCGTGCGTGCGTGTGTGTGTATCTGTGTGTGTTTGTGTCCATGTGCGTACGTGTGTGTAGGTACGTCTGTATGTGTTTATTGGTCTGTTAGTATTGTTTGTTAATCTAATTTATTTTAAAGTACAACATTTAGTGGTGCCACGTTTTTAAAAAAATATATAATGAAATTATCGTAAAATAATATATAATAAAATATTCTAATTTATAATTACATGATAATCTATAATTAATTACCCCAGTTATTTTCATTATGTTTAAAATTTGTTTCTATATATATATATATATATATATATATATATATATATATATATATACAGCTAGATATATTGGTGAAAAAGCGTTTAAAATGATTTTTTTCCTAATAAAAATAAAATTTTTAACAGTTACGATCAATAGTAGAAATGATGACCCACGTACAATGACAATGATGATGAAGATGATGATAATCAATATCTAACATAATAAAAAAAAAAAAATTATGATGATAATAAAGACGGCTATGGTGATGGCGCGATGATGATATCAACTATGATACAAATGGTATCATTTTGAAAGTGATATCATATATCTCTGTTATGAATTGCAAAACGTAGTAAAAAAACAATAATAATATAACATACTGATAAAATAAATTCTAGATATATGTATATATGTGTGTGTTTGTGTGTGTTTGTGTGCATGTTCGTGTGTGTATATTGATATAATATTTATTTATATATTTTACAAAGTCAAAATTTGTAAAATTTTGTAAACTGTTCAAATATGAGAAAATGAATCGTCAGTAACAGTACAATCAATGTGCTAAGAGAATGGTTTCATGATACATTATTTGGTAACATTAAACTATAATAATAATAATAGTATTACTATTATTATCATCATCATTTTTATGATTATGATTATTAATATTATTATTATCATAACATGAAAGATGCTTGGGCGGCGACGACGATGATTATGATGACTGGAGATGATAAAAAATATGATAATGGCGATGATGACGTTGGTAATGATATTAGTAATAGTGATAACGATGATGATGACACTGATCTGATTAATACATTAAGTGACAATGACAATAGTGATGATAAAAACATCGAAATGTTGATGACGACTTTACTGTTAATGATGATGATATGGCAATGATGAAGGACAGAAAGTAATGATAACGACGATGATGATGATGGTGACAATGAAACATTAAATAATTTTTACAAAAGTGATAACGATGATCACGACAGCCACTGATAATGATGATAATGATAGTGGTGATAATGACGCGAAAAATAATTTATTATTGCAAGAATAGTAGCAAGTCGTCGTTAGTGGACATGGAGTTCGAGTCGGAAGTCCTATCCGAGGGTCCAAGGTAGAGGGATAAGTCGTCATCAAATGAATCCGGAAGAATCTGGATTGTGTTTTGTGGTTGTTGTTATTGTTGTGGTTGTTGTTGTTGTGTGTGGTTATTGTGTGGTAGTTTTTGTTTTTTGGTGGTGAAAAATTGTTGAGCAGAATGAATCGCCTAATGTTTTTTTTTTGATAGTTTGTTATTCGTTCTGTGAAATGAATTTTTTTCTTTCAAATTCACCATTCGGTGTATCAATATTTTTATGTAATGTTGAAATTGTGTCTTTGCTTCTGATGTGTTCTGTTTT